AAGACCAAACTGCGGACTCACATTTCCAGAAAAAGGAGTCTCTTGTAGAATCCAGTCGGTGTGGGTTGTTCCAGTGAATGACTTGCTCGTTGGAGGGCGGACAGGGTTTACCCAGATTGCGTTTTTTCCTTGAGAAACAGAGGAGCTGACTTAGTTTTCCTGCTGTACTTGAACGGTACTTGTGGAGATGAATCCCCTGCTCAGAGAGAGACGTCCAAACAATCCTAGGGGGAAAAGTTTATCCAAACCACAAGCACGAATCCTCAGCTCAGTTTGGTGCTCAGAGAATCCTTCCAGGGGGGAGAAGGTCCAAAACATCCAGTTTGCAGGATGACTTCCTGCCGAGAGGGAAAGACAAAACAACAAGGTTAAGACTCAGGTTGACAAAACTGAGTTTGACTCAGTAAAACTCAGCTTGGCTAGAGTACCCAAAACTGGCAAACACTCTGGGGTCGAGGTAGTGGCAGTCAGCAGCTTAAAAGTCCTCCGGTAATGAGGTAACCATCCGCAGGTGTGTGAAAGGGCCAATGAGAACCAGGAACCCCCCTTTTGGTGGAGGGAAGACAAACAAAAGCACAACCCACACAGACTGGACTCCTAACACCTTCCATTTTAGAAAAGAGTATTCTATCAAACACTGAAAGGTCTCTTTTTAACCAAATATTTAACTCCATTTGCTGGAAATTAACAGATTATACTTTATACTTCTGCAACGGTTTCAATGTGTTACTTTATTGTATCTGTAATACTATATCTGTTGGTTGTGTTGTTCTTTTTTACATGATGAAGCAGACACAAGACATTTTATCATTGTATCCCTTTTATCTCCTCTTTCTTTCATCTTTTCTCCTTTTTTCCTGTTTTTTTCTTTCCTGTTCTACTTTCCCATTGCAGTGTCCATATAATCTAAAATACTCCCTGCATGAATTATAATAAAGCTATTTATATGCATAGTGGAACAAACTATGGCGATAGCCGTACTGCTCCACTTGTGAGAGTAAAATCAGTTGGGCTCTTTTTGACATCAAGGCAATTATTCTTATTGCCGCATCGCCAGAAAGGACACTGAGTAGAAAAAAAAAGAAAATAAATCCAGAGACTATCAAAATTACTCTACAACTTTAGATATATTAATTCCTAAGAATTTGACTTTGTGTTTAACAGATATACCACACTGACACATTGGAGGGTGGTCATGCATTGATATTAATTCACATTTACTTAGATTTAGGTACAAACCTGAGGCATCTGAAAAAACATGAATGATTTCTTTTGCATCATCTGTTAGCTGACTAATTGCCAGTGGATGACGCATGACATCCAATTTTTTATTTTTGGGTTACCTTCTGTTATCTAGTAGAGTGGCCAGCTCTTTCATTAGATGTAGACAGAGTTAGATTATTTCTGCCTGAACCTTCTCCAGAAGCACCATAGAGAGCGTTCTGACCAGCTGTCTCACTGTGTGGTGTGGAGGCTGCAGCGCCTCAGACTGGAAGAAGGTGAGAACAGCAGAGAGGATCATGGGGGCTCCTCTTCCCTCCATTAAAGACATTTCATCTCAGCGCTGCGTGTCCCGAACCCGTAACATCATCAATGACCCATCACCCCCCCCACCATGGACTGTTCTCCTTGCTGCCCTCTGGGAAGAGGCTTCACAGCATTCAACGCAGCATCAGCATATTCCAAAACAGCCTTTTCCCCACTGCCATCAGACTGTTTAACTGTTGAAAAACTCTAAATCAACTCACAAATCAAGACTCTGCATCACACTGATAACATGATACTTGCACTGCATGGTGTTATATCTATTTTTTTTTATTTTTGCACTGCTCTGAATCTTCCACGTCAATGCCTTTTTGCACCATATCTCTCCCACACTGAGTACATTTGATCACTGCTGCACTTAATGAATGGAAATGTTCTTTTTCATTGGTAAGCTACTGCTCATTCACTGTTGGAACACTGTATTAATAAAGAAATTATTTTGTATACAGTCTGTGTATACAAAATGACAATAAAGTTTGTATAAGTCCTTCTCCTATGTTCCAGACCTTTTGTATATTGTTAGCAGTGCCTCAGTATCTTCTCAGGTGTCTGTGCTAAAGGAAAATTCTTAACATCTAAAACATAAAGCAAAACCTAGCAGCAGGTAAAGAAAGGCCACGGTTCAAGTCACTAACTAAGGCATCCCTAGGCTGGCCTGATATAAAAATAAATAAATAAACTATATCTAGATGTGACTGTTTCCACTCCAGTGTGAGGTTTTCAACTTGGAGTAGCTTTAATCAATAAGAACAACAATCTGTGAGATAAAACATATTAAATATATAAAACAATGCTAATGGTTTGGTTAGTTTTAAAAGAAAGAAACTAACAAGAGTAAAGGTATTTTATTACATAAAGACATCAATAAAAATATCTATGTTAAGTCACCAGGCTACCATTAAAATGTACAAATGTTCAATTTAAATTTTTATTTTACTGTGTAATAGAGTTTTGAATTTGAATTTCAGAAATATACCAATACAGAAAAGTTACAATTAAAATCCCACTCCCCTGCAATTCCACTGTGCTTCCCCTAGAGGGCATGCGCTCCCTTTAGGAAATACTGACCTACACTAAGCATGTAGATTAGTTCAGATTAAAGGACATTTTAAACTGTCAGTAAACATTTTTTTCATTAAACCTATACTACCAGAAATAGTTTTTGCTTCATTAAATTCATTTCTGTATCAGATTTTATTTTTTTTAATGATTGGTGGAAAGGGTTGTTGTGGCTCAATGTTTTAACTCAACCTTCTACTTTAAATTAAACATTCCTTTAAAATGTATTCCCTCAAATGAAAAACAATATTCTCCCAATCACTTTACCATGCTTATTTATATATATATATATATATATATATATATATTTTTTCTTTTTCTTTTTTTTTCAAGCTCCATTCAATATAATCCAAAGCAACAAAGGTCCACTCAATATAGTACAAAGCAACAAAATTAACTCATCCCCTTGGGGAGCAGTGGGCTGCCATCATGGGGCGCCCAGAGAGCAGTGTGGGGTTAAGGGTCCTTGTTTAGGGACCCAGAGTGGCAGTCTGTGGGAATGGGGCTTGAACTCAGAACCTCTGGGATCCAAGCACAATGCCGTAACTACTAGGCCCCACTCCCACAATGTTAAATATTATTATTATTTTATTATGATGTATATACTTTAATATACACTCACCGGCCACTTTATTAGTTACACCTGTCCAACTGCTCGTTAACACTTAATTTCTAAGCAGCCAATCACATGGCGGCAACTCAGTGCATTTAGGCATGTAGACATGGTCAAGACAATCTCCTACAGTTCAAACCGAGCATCAGTATGGGGAAGAAAGGTGATTTGAGTGACTTTGAACGTGGCATGATTGTTGGTGCCAGAAGGGCTGGTCTGAGTATTTCAGAAACTGCTGATCTACTGGGATTTTCACGCACAACCATCTCTAGGGTTTACAGAGAATGGTCCTAAAAAGAAAAAACATCCAGTGAGCGGCAGTTCTGTGGGCGGAAATGCCTTGTTGATGCCAGAGGTCAGAGGAGAATGGCCAGACTGGTTCGAGCTGATAGAAGGGCAACAGTGACTCAAATAACCACCCGTTACAACCAAGGTGGGCAGAAGAGCATCTCTGAACGCACAGTACGTCAAACTTTGAGGCAGATGGGCTACAGCAGCAGAAGACCACACCGGGTGCAACTCCTTTCAGCTAAGAACAGGAAACTGAGGCTACAATTTGCACAAGCTCATCGAAATTGGACAATAGAAGATTGGAAAAAACGTTGCCTGGTCTGATGAATCTCGATTTCTGCTGCGACATTCGGATGGTAGGGTCAGAATTTGGCGTCTACAACATGAAAGCATGGATCCATCCTGCCTTGTATCAACGGTTCAGGCTGGTGGTGGTGGTGTCATGGTGTGGGGAATATTTTCTTGGCACTCTTTGGGCCCCTTGGTACCAATTGAGCATCGTTGCAATGCCACAGCCTACCTGAGTATTGTTGCTGACCATGTCCATCCCTTTATGACCACAATGTACCCAACTTCTGATGGCTACTTTCAGCAGGATAATGCGCCATGTCATAAAGCTGGAATCATCTCAGACTGGTTTCTTGAACATGACAATGAGTTCACTGTACTCAAATGGCCTCCACAGTCACCAGATCTCAATCCAATAGAGCATCTTTGGGATGTGGTGGAACGGGAGATTCGCATCATGGATGTGCAGCCGACAAATCTGCGGCAACTGTGTGATGCCATCATGTCAATATGGACCAAACTCCCTGAGGAATGCTTCCAGCACCTTGTTGAATCTATGCCACTAAGAATTGAGGCAGTTCTGAAGGCAAAAGGGGGTCCAACCCGTTACTAGCATGGGGTACCTAATAAAGTGGCCGGTGAGTGTATATAATATTGTTACAATTTATAAAGTTCTGTATAATAAATTATATAATATATATATATATATATATATATATATATATATATATATATATATATATATCTATATATATATATATATATATAGATATATATATATAATCGTTTTTTTTTTATTATTTTCTATTTTTGTGGGGGGGTGTTCAGATTGCAATAAAGTAATCGGAAAATGTTACTGTAAGAAAGAAAAAAAGTACTCTTTGCTCAACATTTCGACCATCTATCATGATGCTTGTCAAGCTTAATTTGAAGATCCTGTATTCCTGATCTTTTTTATGATGGACTAACGGAGAACTCCTGCAAAGGTCTGCCTCCACACAGTCACGTAACTAGCTGGAGATCAGCACGTTCTGTAGATTATGTACATCTCCTTCTGATGTTTGGTTAAATACTTGAATATGATTGGATCCACTAGGCAGCGGCCAACCTCCCTCACTTCCGCTACTTCATGTCATTGGCTGAGCTTGGTGCCAATTAAGAGGAATATACCTACGTCATAGAGGTGCCTTAGCTGATTGGTTGGTTGTTCAGCAAAATCTCACCGCCGTGTAGGTAGGATTGTGTTCACCATGTTGGATCAAGTGCAGCTCCTGTTTACCTTCTGATCAGCTGGATCATGGCAGCGGAGTTCCAGCGGGCCGCAGTGTGAAGGAGCCGCTGCCTGGCTGCCGACTGACAGCGGCGAGCTTCCACAAACAAGCGGAACAGCAGGAGGAGCAGCGGGAGGAGGAGGAGATGAGGCTACCCGCTCTGTTAGCTAGCTCCGAGCTGTCAGGTTAAGAAGCTGTCGTCTTCACTTTGGCAGCAGGGATATTTATCTAACATTAAAGCTGAACTTTTCTTCGCATTTCAATCTCGTCTCTTTCGGTTCTTATTCCTTTTTAATCAGAGCGGAAGTCCCTAAAAACAAGGGTTCCGTCGGCGGATCTTGTCATCTGGAAGGAACTGAGGGTTTGGGCTGAAATGCGGAGAGAAACGGTGGAGATGACGGAGGTTTGTGTCTGAGCAAACTGCTCCATGGATGGATGGCGGCGGCCTGGGCCTGCCTGCCTGCCTCTGCTCTCCGATTATCGCCTTAGCGGGGATACACCCCCTCTGCACCGGATCTGTGCCGTTAATCACGACTCGGAGATTACCTCTGGTTACGGAATAGCTGGCTGGCCTGCGCGCAGATAGAGAGGACTCCGTTTGGTTCAGCAGAAGCGCTTTCCTGGCTGTTTGGAGCCGCTCTATGGGAGGGTTTGCGGCGCTGGGAAGAACTTTTTCAGCTGAACGCTCATGTGACAGGATTTAGATCCGCGTGTGGAGCTTTCAGTGCGGGTAGGCTGTGCGATGGGGGCATCAGAGGCCACTAACTTCCTTTATTCTGGGGGGTTCGGCCTTATTTCTACTCTGATTTAACTTTAACTGCAGAAAACCGATGGTTTGCAAGCGAGAATTTAGTTTTAGATGAAGGTAAAGCAGATGTTGCATTATGATAAACAGTCCTGCCAACTGTTTTCATGACTTTTTCTATGAAGTTTTAAAGTTTGAAAGTCATTTAAAGCTGTTTGAAGGTTCTGATAAGTTCTTCTAACTGTGAGGCTGCAGCCTGGTAGCCTTCATCTCCATCCTCTGGTCCTTTGAATGACTGAATGGCTCTTTGCAGCACAACTGCCACCAGTGCGAAAATGATGGCTGCTTACAACGGAGGCTCTTCAGCAGTAGGGGCCCATCACCACCACCAGCTGCAGCACCTCCCGCCTCCTCACATGCATCACCACCACCATCACCACCATGCAGGGCAGCATCACTTGCAGCACCCTGGCTCCGCTGCAGCTGTGCGCACCGTGCAGCAGCACACATCCACTGCTGCAGCTGCAGCAGTGATGCTCAATCCGGGCCAGCAGCAGCCCTACTTTCCTTCTCCTGCTCCTGGACAAGCTCCAGGACCTGCTTCAGCCGCAGCTCCAGCCCAGGTTCAAGCTGCTGCCGCTGCTGTCAAATCTCACCACCACCATCATCACCATCAGCAACAGCAGCAAAACACACACCACCTTCAGCCGCAACTGGACATGGAGCCTGATAGGCCCATCGGCTATGGTGCTTTTGGGGTAGTCTGGTAAGTACTCAACGCTAAGTTTCTTTACGTACTGTAAAATACTCTTTAGCTATCTGTCTTCAGATGAGTGTGAAGGTCGTTCTGAAATACTAAAATGACTCTCATAGACCATCACTTCTCTTTAAAACTTAGAAACTATTGTGAACTGTATCAGGGGCGGATTTAGGAAATGTGGGGCCCTAGGCAAAGACAGGCAGGGGGCCCTCTGAATGTAGAAGACAACACATAAAACGGCCCCATTCTACAGATAGAGAAATGTTAATAGAATAGACATCCATTATCTGTTCTAGGTTGTGTCCCTCTCTTCTTGTCCCTTTTCTTGTTTTCCTCTCTATGTTTTGTACTCAGCTGACTTTTCATGCTGTCTCTAAAGGAATGAAAGATTTTTTCCAAGCACTAAGCTCACTTAGCCGATTGCTCCTTCCTGTGTTTCCAAAAAGGCCAAAGTAAATAACCCAGTCCTTCTTTTCACTGTAGACAAGCCATGATCTGCTTATCTGTTCTCCATTTTTCATTTGGATGAAATAATAGCTGCATGAATCATGACAGCAGACAAGATAGAGGAGAGCAGGAGGCGGGGTTACCAATCTACTTGCTCTGGAGAGCAGAGTTCGCTGCTTTTAGATGTTGTCTCCAAAGTCTCCAGTAGCAGAAAAGAGTCGCTAGATTTGGCGCTAGGCATTTTTTTTAAATATAAAAGGGCTAGAGGGGTCTGAAAAGTCACTAAATATGGCAACAAAAGCACTAAGTCAGCAACATTGCTCTTCGTATTGTTTGATTTCAAGTGGTTTTCTGCTGTCTGTTTGGACCTTTCTGAACATGTGCAGCAATACATGGAGTAGTTTCTCAGCATCACCCCTGGACAGGATATTTCTAACTTTTTGCAATATTCTGCAGAGGAAAGAAGGAAATTGTAGAAACCTCTTTAATATGGGATATAAATGACAGGTCCTGATCAAAAACAACACCAAGGTTTTTTACTTTATTATCTGAAATCAGTTTAATCCCATCCAAATGAAGTGACCGACTAATCAGCTTCTTTTTCAAACACTCTGGTCCAAAGACTATAACTTCTGTTTTGTCTGCATTCAGAAGGAGAAAGTTAAGAGTCATCCAGGTTTTTATGTCTTCAGACATGCCTGTAATCTATGTAATGGGTTAGCTTCATCTGGATTTATAGACAGATATAGCTGGGTATCATCAGCATAACAGTGAAAATGAATCCCATGCTGTCTAATAACTCTACCAATTGGCAGCATATATATATAGTAAAGAGAATTGGTCCTAACACTGATCCCTGTAGTATTCCACAGGTAACCTTTGAGCATGAGGAAGATCTGTCATTAACGTGAACAAACTGAATTCGATCAGATAGATAAGATTTAAACCAGTCTAGAGCTGTTCCTTTAATTCCAACAAAATATTTAAGTCTTTCTAAAAGAATATTATGGTCAACTGTATCAAATGTGGCACTGAGATCCAACAGGACGAGCACAGATAGAAGTCTATTATCTGAGGCCATGAGAATATCATTAGTGACTTTCACCAGAGCTGTTTCAGTGCTATGATGAGCTCTAAAGCCAGACTGAAACTCTTCAAAAAGTTCATTATGGTGGAAGTGATCGCAGACTTGTTTGGCAACTACTTTCTCATGAATTTTATTTAACCCATTTAGGCCTAAAACGCCTGGAAAAAACACCTTAAAAACCTATGGCCGATTTTAAAAAATACCCCTAAAACCTGAAGTTTTTCTGTAAATTCAGCAACTGTGTCAACGCCTTAATTATTGATATCTCAGCTTCTGTAGCAGATAGAACTCAAAATATATTTTATCTTTGAAATTCTTCCAAAAAAAAAATGTGAAAAGCAGTAATCAAAAAAAAAAAAATTCAACCTTTTATTTTTTCCATATGTGATCATGTCTTCATTGAGAATGTGCAATATAAAACGTTTTCAAAATAAAGAACAAACATTACATAAATAACTATCTGATGATTACTTATTAACAGTATTATTATGCATAATAATGCATATGTCTGTGTTATAAATTGCATACAACCTACCTCCAGATGGCCACAAATCTGTCCCGGGACATATTTTGGGGGAACTGCGTCCTGAAGAGAGGTTTACATACACAGCCCAATAAATGTCTTCATCTCCGTCACAGTCACGGGTGACCACTTTGCCATCTTTGCTCTTGTTGGAGTTTGGTTTGTTTGGTCACTGTACCTATTCGTCTCGGTAACTAGATGCATCCAAAGTTCTTCATTAAAAATATGCTCAAATGCCTGCAGCGGTGTGGCGTCTGCAGGCAAATCAACTTTCACTCCAGGTGTGCGGTTGAAAACACTCCGTGCATTGCGGTGGTAGTTCGATTGGTTCAGCGCGTTCAAAGTCATCATTTCATCTATACCGTCATCAAAGCCGACACACTCCTCAAAATCACTGCCTTCCGACAACTCTTCTCTGTCAAACTCCTCCATGTTTGCTTGAAAAAAACTTCTTTCTTCTTGCTTGACTTATATGCTCTCCCGGCGTCAATGGTAGAATGACGCAACAGCACCCCCGGCTTGAATGGTAGAAATGCGGTAATGCTTTCCCGGCCTAAATGGGTTAAGAAAGGAAGATTGGATATAGGTCTATAATTGACCAAGTTATCTTAGTCAAGAGACGGTTTCTTAAGCAGAGGTTTAATTACAGCAACCTTAAAAGCTTTAGGTACATATCCCTGTAACAGAGATGGATTAATCACATCTAAAATGGAGGAGGAGATCAAAAGGAATACCTCCTTAAATAACCTGGTTGGAACTGGATCTAACATACAAGTTGAAGGCTTAGATGAAGACAATAGTTTTGCTAACTCTGAAAGTTCAACTGGATCAAAGCAGTCTAAACCCAGTTCAGATTCTATGGCTACCTCAGATGCTGCCTCACCTTCCAGAGTTAAACCAATCATAGTTAGAGGAGTGCTAATGATCTTAATTTTAATCAGATCAATCTTATTTATAAAAAATCACATAAAATAATTGCTGCTAAGAGCAGGTGGAATGGACGGTTCAACAGAGCTATGGCTCTGGGTGAGTTTGGCAACTGTATTAAAAAGAAATATAGGATTATACTTATTCTCCTCTATTAATGAGGAGAAATATGCTGCTCTTTTACAAAGGGTCCTCTTATACAGCAGGAAACTTTTTTTTTAGACTAGGAAGGATTCTCGTAGGCCTGTGGAGCGATATTTTCCCTCCAGTTTCCTAATATTTTGCTTCAGAGTGCTCTGCATTAAACCAAGGAGCAAGCTTTCTATTTTTAAGGTGTTTCTTTTCAAAGGGACTACATTTTCTAAGCAGTACGCAGAGAACTAGCAACCCCATCAACAATATCATCAACCTGTGAAGGGGAATAAACTAATCTTTTGCCCTCTGCAGCACTGCTCAGCGACACAGAGGAGAGAGAAAGTGAAACAGATTCTTTTAAATTAATAACTGCACTATCCGATAACAATCTGCTAAAGTGAAACCTCTTCTCGGAGGATGTAATCCTGAAGGTTATTAAAAAGTGGTTAGAGGGGACAGGGTTATGAGGAAATACTGTTGTTTCTTCTCATTCTATGCCGTATGTCAACACAAGGTCCAAAATATGAAGATTAGAATGTGTGGGACTATTCACATTTTGAACAAAGCTAAGACAATTCAATTCAGTTTATTTCTACAGCTCCAATTCACAACACATGTCATCTCAAGGCTCTTTCCAGTTCGACCAGATCATACAGTCAAATTGATTCAAAGATTTCTATCTAAGGAAAACCAGTTGATTGCATTGGCTCATTGACTCAAATACAATCCCTCACACTAAGCATGCTTGTAGCGACAGTGGAGAGGAAAAGCTCCCTTTTAACAGGAAGAAACCTCCAGCAGAACCAGGCTCAGTGTGAGCGGCCATCTGCTGAGGACGACTGGGGTTCAAGGAGTCAGAAGCAGAGATAGAAAAAGCAGCTGTAAAAGGCGGCCCCTTCCAGGAAACACAGCCAGGCAGACTAGCTCTGACCCAGCTCCCATGTCAGAGAATGAAGAGAGCACATCCAGTTAGTCATGGTCAGAGAAACAGGACTACACTGGAAAACAGGCTGATTTCCAGCATCTATAAACAAAGGTGTTGATGGCAGCAGCACTGCTGATATTTCTCTCCAGGATGGAGTCGCAGCCAAACAGGAACAGACCAGATGAAGCTACTATGAGAAAAAGCAGAGAGAGCATAACATTGAAGACTTCTCTTAACCCATTTAGGCCTAAAACGCCTGGAAAAAACACCTTAAAAACCTATGGCCGATTTTAAAAAATACCCCTAAAACCTGAAGTTTTCCCTGTAAATTCAGCAACTGTGTCAACGCCTAGTAAATTATTGATATCTCAGCTTCTGTAGCAGATAGAACTCAAAATATATTTTATCTTTGAAATTCTTCACAAAAAAAAGTGAAAAGCAGTAATAAAAAAATAAAAAAATTCAACCTTTTATTTTTTCCATATGTGATCAAGTCTTCATTGAGAATGTGCAATATAAAACGTTTTTAAAATAAAGAACAAACATTACATAAATAACTATCTGATGATTACTTATTAACAGTATTATTATGCATAATAATGCATATGTCTGTTATAAATTGCATACAACTTACCTCCAGATGGCCACAAATCTGTCCCGGGACATATTTTGGGGGAACTGCGTCCTGAAGAGAGGTTTACTCTGTCGCCAATAATCTCTTCGTACTGGCAACACAAGAAGTCCCATGCCCATACACAGCCCAATAAATGTCTTCATCTCCGTCACAGTCACGGGTGACCACTTTGCCATCTTTGCTCTTGTTGGAGTTTGGTTTGTTTGGTCACTGTACCTATTCGTCTCGGTAACAAGATGCATCCAAAGTTCTTCATTAAAAATATGCTCAAATGCCTGCAGCGGTGTGGCGTCTGCAGGCAAATCAACTTTCACTCCAGGTGTGCGGT